GGTAATTAGTATCCACGGATTATTACCAAAACTAATCAAAACCTAGCATTAGTTCAGAGCATGTATGTACAAAGTTTCATCAAAATCCAATGAGTGGTTGTTTAGATATCAGTGGAACAATCATGGAACAGCTAAAAATCAGCTAATTATCCTGCAAATTAGGTAATTAATATGCACAGATTTTTACCAAAAACTAATCAAATCTGCGCATATGTTCAGAGCATCTATGTACCAAGTTTCATCAAAATCCAATGAGTGGTTGTTTAGATATCAGTGGAACAGTCATAGAACAGCTAAAAATTAGCTAATTATCATGCAAATTAGATAATTAACGAGCATGGATTTTTACCAAAACCTAATCAAATCTGCGCATTGGCCCAGAGCATCTATGCACCAAGTTTCATCAAAAACCGATGTATGGTTCTTGAGATAGCAGTGGAACAGACAGACACACATACACACACACACACACACAAACACACACACACACATACATACAGACACACTAACTGCAAAGACTCCCATTATGTGCTTCGCACATGGGAGTCAAAAACGAAATACTTTCATACTTTCTAGGTCAGTTGTGTTGAACATTTTTCAACTCAAAATTCAAAACCATGTTGTATGCCCAGAGTTTAGGTTGTCAAGATAAATTATAAATCAATGAATGTTTCAGGTGAACACTATAACTACTTATTTTAATTCATGCCTCATTTTATTATAAATGTTTTAGCAGATAATACAATTTTATATGTTACAGATAATCAATTTGACACCATAAATCCATGGTCAAGAGAAAAAACAAACAAACTAAAGCTTAGAAATAAAATAAGTAAATTTTCCCAATCAGTTGACAATGACACTATCTTTAGTGCCTAGCATGCACTTAAATTTCTCAAGAGTTCATAGCAAAAGTTGTCATCATAAATTGCTAAATTCAGCTTTTTTATTTAGTAAGAGCTTGTACAATCAGACTATTTTTACATGTGAGTAAGACTTGTAATTCATCCCCAATAGCCTGTTCATTACTTAGAAAACAAAACAAAACCTTTGCTCTGAAGATATTTTATTATATCTAAGTTTTTTAATTGGCAATGAGTGAGAAGAAATGAGAAACTTAGTGAAGCTGAGTTTAGCTGACTGTGTTGCACATTTTTGATTTGTTCTAAATATAGTACCAGTAAATTTCTATAGAGTTATATTTATCACTAATTTGTTAATGTGAATAATGTTTTAAAAAATGATGTCCATAAATTACTGTTCATTTTATTGTCAGAAAGAAAACCACGGCCAGAAGATGATTATTTTTAATTGATTTTTCATGCAGATAATCCAAAGTAATATTATAATTACATCCACTGACAGGAAAATGTGACTTTAATGTAGATGCTGACTGTGGCCATACATGCACATCACCGAGGGTACTGCATTTTATGTCAACATAAACTATGATTTGAAATGGCAGTAGACAAAACACAAAAACATCATTAAGTTCAGGCTCACACACATGCATGCCTTAACCAATGTGATATTGTGCAGCAGCGCCCTCAAGTGCGTCTTTATCAAAGATTTAGACGGTATATCTATAGTGATTACGCTACAGACACACTATTCTGATATCCATTGTAGTTATTCATGCAAACACATACAAAGCTAAGCCAAGCAAAGCAAACCTCAATAAAAGATTTTCTGATATAGAGAGACATTCACCTCTTACCATACATAAATAAATGACTTTTATAATAAGATTGAATAGGATATACATACCTGGAAAGAATGTGTGAATTCTCTTTTTCAAATTCTTCCCTTTTCTGTTGTTGTAGTTCTTTTAATGCTCTATTATGTCTCTCATTGGATCTCTTTTCATTCTGTACAGCTATGGCTAATTTTATCTCATCTTTCTCTTGTGGATTCTATATAATAAAAGTACAACATTTAAAGGTTCATACATTCTTGATTATCTGCATAAATTATCTTATTTACCATGGACTAACACAGGATGAATGACTGGGGTTTATTATATTTGCTGTTATTAAGTTTAATTAATAAATAAACACTGATCTTTACTTCCATCTAGGCTAAGAAGCCTTGCAACAAAGATGGGAGATGATCAGTGTGCCCTAATATAGAATCCCCAAAATTGAGTTGAGTCAGTTTGTTCTAGGACAACCAATACATTGTATTGGTTGTCTGAGGTTTGTTGACTGCTGTGGAGAGAGGCTTTCAAGAAGAAAGATAATTGTATGTGACTGACCAGGTGATTAACAGCACACACAAAAATTTGTTTCCTCCCAGAGTTCCTTCAATTTTTCACTTATTTTGGTTATAAAATGTTAATTTTGTTTTTTTGTAGTAAGATTTTTTTAAAATTACTATCAATGTACAATTTTCTATTGTCTCAATAATGCATCAGTGAATAAGCATAACTAGTTGAGTCACAGCAAATCTCTATGTGTCAGTAGTACGTCATATTGGTTTAGTTATAAAACAGTGATGTATCACAATTGAAATGTATTTACACTGTGGTCATTTCGCATTATTCAAAAAGGTGACATCATAATATTAGAGCTGCTATCTTAATATGCTTTCATGGCTCAACTTGATATTTATAATAATAAATATTTTATATTATGTAGATTGGTGAAGACTTTCAAGAAATAATTTAATTATTCTGTGTAGATAATAGCAAGTTAAGCAATGTATGTTACCTCTTTTTCAGCAGCTCTGTGTCCATCTCCAACACTCTTTAAACTCTCTGCATATAGAGTTTCTAATGCTATTTGTTTACTCTCTTGATCTTCTTTCCAGTCTTCCTGTAAATTTTCTGCCAATAAGCGTAATTCCTTGTCTCTCTTGTCCTTTGCCTGTTTCCTAAGTTTATGTGCAAACGCTCTCTCTTGTTCTCTCACCTATACAGATATGAGTAAGTATAATTGTTCAAAGTACTGCACAGGTTTATTGTACTGTGATTAGTAGATTAAAATAGTATCAACTGTATTGCAGATTAATTTGTATTAATGGACACATCCACCAGTGAGGGTAAAGCACAGTGTTTTATATTATTCAAGCACTATGTTAAATTGGCAAGATACAGATACATCAGTAACGTGTATGCAGACATAAACCACTTATTCTGCGAAAAATGACAAAAATACTCCTTCCATGAAAATTATGCTAAAGTTCAGATTCTATTGAATTAGGTACACACCTGTTGTAATCTCAGTTTCCTTCTTCTTTCTCTCTCCTTTTTAATGATAGCAGCCTCTTCATTGGGACTCAGTCTGTATGTAGTCTTTGCCATATTAACTTTGGCCATCGCAATAGGCACTTTCATGGGGCAATTTTTTGTAATATATACAAGTGCTTTTAAAACAAAATATAAAACAAATAGATAAAAATAAACACTGTGTATGAAATTACCAACACGATACTGAGAGTTATAGCATCATTGGTGTGTGTGCTACAATACACACTGTACTATTATACATGCAAACTAAAATGCACAAAGATAATATAAACAAAACAAGACAAAAAAACGTAAACACAGTTTACACCGGGAATTAACACTCAACGAGTTGATCTAACATGCTGATCAGAAGAAACAATTGATTGCTAAAATGTAGTTCACAACATGACAAGAGTAAACGTGTTTTACTTAGAAATTAACAGAACAGCTTATTGTATAGTCGCATGAACGTTAAAACGACATGTACGTCGTTTTTGCTTGTTGTGACATGTTGAAATTTAAATTTTACACCTGCTAATAGTAAACAATAAACGCAATTTAACAACAAGACAAAACTTGGAAAAAACTATATCATAACAAAACTTTAACAATTGCTACTGCATGCATATCAGCTAAAATTCATAAATATAGTTTTGCAATGTACAGTCACTGTCGATAGGATCTGTTTCAAGTGCCAAACGTAACTGTCTTCACATTTACCGTCATTGACATTCATGTACATGCACGACGTTTTTATACGTTTTTGCTGTCCGAAAACAAAAACAACACAAAACACACGATTCGACTGTGAAATGTTCACCGAACTGTGTTCGTATCAGTGAAACAGAAGTGGAAAACAGTGAAACTGTTGTAATTATTTTTATGAAAAGACTCGTTTGCTGGGTGAAAAACAAGTGATGGTTGATTTTTTTCTTGACTCACCATGCACCAACCATCACAACGTTCCTTAATTGGCAATAAAATACTAAATGCGAAACTTACCAATACCATGAAGCCTGATTTCGACATAAAATCCAAGTAAATCGCAGCAACGAAACGAATGACGGTAACAAACCAAAAAACGCAACGAACGTTTGAAAAGAGCGCCCCCAATTATTTATGCCGTAAATCGGTGATTCAAATAAGCGACTATGTAAACGACCAACGCAGTACTATTCTAAAAAAAAAAAACAAGTATGTTTAGTAAATAATTTGCGAGTTTTCTAATGTTGGTTTTGTACTTGACATATTCTATGTTTGATACGCCGTAAATAATATATTAATTATACTTTCTTCGTAAATTTTACGATTGACCGATTTGCGACTTCTAGGTCACAGGTCAAACAGTAATATAGAAAAAAATCGAGATTGAGATTGATACAGCATATAATCTTGTTCTTATGCAACATATTGGTTGGTTATTAGGAATTTGTAATCACTGTACAATATTGTCAACCATTTATTACAATACAGTGTCGAAGATTAAATCAGAATTGTGTTACTTGGCACATATTTTCGTGGTAATCTGGTAAGTTCTCCCACTTTTACAAAACTGTAATGTATGGTTTGTCGTCCGGTATAGGGCGGATACAACATAACATTTTGTGCGTGTGAGTTTACCCACCCAGGGTATATAGTATATTGTTAATGAGTGTTTGAATCATTGGTCTATTGAATATTGTGATCCAAAAGAAATACCAGATAGGTAAAATGCTGCATATGTGTTTGATCAACAACAATTATTTATACAATGTATCTTTCATAACTGCACTCACTCTGCCGTTTTAATTACCGGTAATCATGCTCACCTAATCTGAAGGTTTACAAAGAGTAGGTCTTGTACATTATTGATTTATTGATCAAATCTAATCACATGCAGGTAGCCCAGAAACTATAATCAACTGTACGCAGTCTCTATGAGCCGGGGGGGGGGGGGCTATCGGCTGGTATCTAGTGTAAGAAATAGACAAGGAATGGAGGCTCCAGCCAGCTCACATTTTTAAACTGGAAGTACAGACAAACAGAATGAAAAATGAAATCTATAAAAAATACCAGGTTGAAGAATATTCAAATTTCGCCAAAACCTTACCTATATTTTACCTATATCTTCAGAATAAATCAGGAAAACTACACAAATTGACTCCATTTATGAATAATTAACGATTGGCCCACAGCACAGTGGCCTATTCAGAATTTGTCAAGAACCAATCCCAAGACTGGTTATCAATGTTATGAATAATTTTGTCTTGTAGATATACATGTATAGCTGATTTTCAGCCATTGTCCATAATGGTATTGAAGTCAAAGGCACCAACTCATCATTAACAGTATATGGTATGCTTCCTATTCATTGTCATATTCAATCAACATACAATTTGCAAAAGACAAGTGATTGGTAAACTTTTAGCATGTGTTTCATTAAAGGGATAAAGTATGAATATGGAATATAAACATTATGGTTTTGTTATACTGATTTTTTACAGGCGAGCAGAAGCCTATCATTATATTGGTTCGTTTTAGAAACAGCACAGCCCCCTAAGCTTCTTTTTCACTAGTCACTGGCCACCAACCTAAACAAACTGGTGGCCAGCCACAAAAACTTGGTAGCCTGCAGGATTTAGAATTATAGTCAGCTTTTCTTTTGGAAAAAAACACACCATGTGAGTGATTTTACATTGTGATTTGAATTGCCCAATATAATATGCAAATGAGTGTTCTGGTGGTTCATTCAATGTGTAGTTTAATTTTGCATTAAAATTGACACACTTGTGGTCTATTTGTTTCAAACTTAGTATGAAGGTTGTACATGTTTGATGCATGTTCAGTGTTCATATATTTGATCCATTTTGTTTTGTGGTTTTTGCATATCTGGAGTAATTATTTAAACATGCTTAGACCAAGTCAAACTTGGTACAATGACATGTTATAATGACAATGACTGTGAATGACATGTTGACATACATCTGTAAAGTTTTTAGTCCCTGTTCGAATGCAGTCCTAAAACTGGGACTTCTGAATTGACCTCCCTCTGTATATCTTAGACATACTTGGACTGCTTACATTTAAACTTCACACCTCCATCATACATAACATTATACATTTGCTCATCTATTTATTTCACAATCTGAAATTTTTTGTGCTGAAAAAACAAACATTTCTGGCATTCCGGAACTGGATTTTGGATGTTTACAGATGGATTTTATTGAAACTTGGTACATACATTTTACATTATAGGACATTGATGCCCATCATTTTGATAGGATTCAAAATGGCCGACAGATGGCCATTTTGTTTTAATGAATGCAGTTCTTAGTGCCATATCTCAGACATGCTTTGACTGATTATGTTCAAATTTTATATATTAATTATACATCATGTCATAAATATACAGTTTTATTGGTTTGATTATCCAATTCAAAATGGCCGAATGGTAGCCATATTTGTGCTAAAACAATCATCAAAAAATCGAATATTTCTGGCATTCCTGAACCAGATCTTAGTTTTTTATGGATGGAATTTGTTCAAACTTGGTACATACATTAGCCATTACTGGTCCCTGATGCACTTCATTTTGTTTTTCAGTTTGGATTCAAAATGGCTGATTGGCGGCCATTTATTGCTATTCCAGAGCAATATCTCTCAATATGGACAAGTACTCGTTTGATGATCAGATACAAGATGACTGAATGTAAAACATTTTAATGTTAAAAATCATCATAATCAAGCATCAGCTTCTGGATCCATCTGGACTGTGCTATGCATGGCTTTTTATTATTATTTTGAACTAAGGATTATAGAGTTATAACTAATTAACAGAAAGCAATTGATCATTTTTTAGATAGATGTCAGAAAGAAGTGTGGATAGCTTGACTCATCTACAGTATCTGCAATTGAGTAAAGTTTGATATTACCATGCGACAGTTAAAAGGCAAAGTATCTGAAACAAGACGAGAGAAAAGACAGAGAAAACAGGAAAATGTAGACAATAAGAACCGTATTATGACAATTGTGTTACCAGTCATTGGCATTGTCAGCATTATAGTTTTTTTACTTGTGTATTATGGAACCAGACCAAAACTAGATCTGTAGCACACATGCATACAGGACTATATGTTTAATATATTTACTCAAGAGATTGTTTCTGTGGTAGTGTTGGATACTATGGTTAAAGACAATAATGTTACATTGTTACTCTTTATAACAAGCTTCAAACTGATGGAATTCCACAGAAAGTTATGGTTTATCCAACTTATTTGATCAGCTCTCATTGTGTGTATAATGAATGCACTTGTATATAATGACATACATACTAATTTTTCAAACTGTCATTATGCCACAACTATATATGGTCTCTATTCAGAATAGTCCTCATCGTTAAGTCTAAATATCTTACCAAAATAAGCTCACTGACAGAGAATATTACAATAGAAGAATCACAGTAACATCTTTACACATCATTAAGTAGTGTAAGCTATAGTAGTTAAAAGCAGCAAGACTTTGGATAATTCTTACCTTAGACTCTAGTGAATACAATGCAGCAAACCCAATGTTAAGAATCACTTTATAGAAGCATGGATGCAGAGAATTGCCATTCTGAGTGATTGTGAAGATAAACGCAATTACTAAATAGCCATGAAAAGTTATCGAACCATTTGTAAGGCCCCCTCCATGAAAAAGTTATTCTCTTTGTCCTGATGTACTTACATGTAGTTTCAGTCAATAATTAACATTATCTCAATATTTTACAGGAGAATGTATCAAATATGATCTGTTCTGATATATCATCTTGGAATTTGGGGAGTGGTGGCTTATCTTTTATATTCCAATGTTACAATATCTGACAGCGTACTACAGTCTGATATCATATTTTCAACATCCCATCACTTTTGAGATCAGTATTTGATGGTCTGAATATACTTGCAGGGATTGTGTACTTATTTTTCAATGGTTGGTGATGATTTTGTCTTTTCATTTGATTTATGTTCAAATATTATTTGCTACTGCTTTTGAATTGTGTTGTAGATTCACTTAAATCACTTATAAATTATCAGAGTTAATTTTAATGCAGCTAGCTACCTGAATAAAACCATTTTTAAACAGTTTGAAGTACGATGGCTCAGAAACTTTTGTTTATTGTTATTGCTGGTTGAGGTGAAAACAGATGGCATCTCTCTTGCAAATATGTGTCAGATATATGTATGTATTTTTAAAAGTTCTGTACTAAGAAAATGGTTTTTGGATGTTGCCTAAACTATTAAAAATGATGTCGAGAACAGGCACTGAACCACTTCTAAATGAATGCCTCTTTACTCATTTCATACACAAGGCATTTTGATTTCATTACATGTTTTATTTCCCATTCAGGGGCAGCCTGAAAGGCGACTATTATTAGTCCTTGTTCAGACGCAGTCCGAAAACAGAGACTTATGTTTTGACCCTTATGCGTCCGTGCGTATCTTAGAAATGCCTGGACGAATCATAGTCAAACTTCACACATACATCATACCTGATCTTATACATATGTACATCAATTTGCTTCACAATCCGATTCAAGATGCTAAAAAATGATCAAAATCAAGCATTTCTCGGCTGTTTACAGATGGATTTTGTTCAAACCTATTATATACATTAGACATCATGGGACCTTGATGCAAACAATTTTATTTTTCAGATCGGATTCAAAATGGCTGACTAGTGGCCATTTTGTTTTAATGAATGGGCTTCTAGACACGTATCTCTGACTTGCTTTGACTGATTATGTTCAAATTTTTAATATTCAGATGTATTGGTTTGACGTTCCTATTCAAAATGTCCAAATGGTGGCCATTTTTGTGCTAAAAAAATCATCAAATATCAATATTTCTGGCATTTATGGATGTATTTCGTTCAAACTTAGTACATACATTAGACATTACGGGTTCCTGATGCACATCATTTTATTTTTCAGATCAGATTCAAAATGGCTGACTGGCGGCCATTTTGTTTTAATGATTGGGCTTCTAGAGTCATATCTCTGACATGCTTTGATTATGTTCAAATTTTATATATTCGTTATACATCATGTTATAGATATATACATGTTTTTAAAATGGCTGATTTTGTTTTAATTAATGCTGTTCCAGAGCAATATCTCCCAATATGGACAAGTACTTGTTTGCCGATCAGATACAAATGTCGATCATTTTAATGTTAAACAATCATCATAATCATATTCCTGACATGGTTATATTTCAGCTATATTACTATAAACAAAACTATATATCTTAAATTTGATAACTAACGAGGACTGTGCCATGCATGACTTGTTTATTTCTGGTTTCCTTCCGTTGACCCTCTTTATGTCTCCAACATTTTCTCAGAAATTCTGCAGCAGATATCAATGAAACTTAGCAGGTTGATGAACAATTCTCTGTTGAATATGCACTAATTTTTTTTCCAGATCTGAAAATCCTATGTGGGTCTTTTTCAAGATTTTCATCCAAAATTACCTCTTCCTACTGCACTGACAGAACAACTTAGCATGCTCAGAATAAATAATTAGTCTAGATTGTAATGCTGGGGTTTTTAGTGATGTCATGACCTTGATCTGAATCAGTGACAGATGGGTACCATTATCAATCTCAGTAGAAAATGTTGAGGGGTGTCAGGGCTACATTTTGATAGGAATTATAGTGGTGATACTGAAACAAACCTAGGTCCTGGTAATATACAAAGACCTGAATTAGCAAAGAAGGCAAGTTGTTATTAAAGGTACATCAAGGTTTACTCAGATTTATGAATGCAGTTACTTGAGGATGTATGAAACATGCACTTGTGTACTGAGATTTTGGACCCGGGTCAATGAAAGTAGAGTACATGAATTTCAGAATGAATTTCAAGACTGTCCATACTAACTATCACACTTGGCTTTAGGTCTAATATAAAGCAAACTCAGCTACTCTTGTTGATCATGAACAATTGTGATTAAAGCACAATGACGATGGTTCTGTTCTGGTGGTTGGCTGGCAAATTGGATCCTATAGCCGTACCTTTGGACCACTTATCCTTGGTAATAGTTGTCCAGTTCTCATAAAAAGCCGTTAATTGTGAGCCCACAGGAAGCCTGAAGCTTCCCATATTGAAAGTTTGCCCATAAGAGTTCTCAAAAATGGTGATGTGTGGTGTCACATTGCTGGAACCCTCTATCATTATGTGAATGCTTTGATAGCCTTGATCCTGGCATGCATCCCATTTAACTGTCGCCTTACTCACAGGTCCCCAGGTTTGTCTGTATAGCTACAATTGCTGTATCATGTTTCTCCAGTTGGAAAGTGGAAATCTATGCTACAACTGTCTGTGTAAGGTTGGTTGTTGTGATATGTAGTCCCTATACTATAGGATCTATGTACTCTTGAGAACTGGCAAACTGCTTGTTCTAGGAAGTCTGGTAAGAGTCGCGTTGTAGGGCCACCTTCAGATCATTGTGAATCGTGCAAGATAGTGCCCAGGAACTTTCTTTTAGTTGCTTGGACTGGCTATGTGGTGTAACCTTCTGGTTGCCACCAAAGGCTAAGCACTCCCTTCTCACAAATAGCAGCACTTCTGGGTCCATGAGTGGTACAATATTTGTAACTTTACATTGCCCATAATAAA